CTATCATTGATATATTATTTGTTAATTTTATTAATGCAGCCAATCAAATAATTGGTTTGTATTATTTGTTATTTTTTACCATTCAATACTAATGTAGTTACAATTTATTGTCTTTTAGAGCTTACCTACGGTGCCTATAGAAGATATATGAGCAATCGGTCATTTTTGCGGTGGGTCCGGTTAGGAGGGAATGATGGTGAGTCATTCAGCTGGGCCTATCATCCTCCTAACAGGGGTGCTGGAAGCTACAGCAGAAGAGGAAATCGTGGAGGAGGTCGTGGGCGAAGACGGAATGGTGGCGGCCTCGTTGTGAATGGTGGCATCCACTATTACTAGGCGCCACCACTCCTGTATTTTTTTTTTAAATAAATATATAACATTATCAAGTTTGTTTTCCATTTTGTCCCAATTTTTACAAATATTAACATTTGATTTATTTATTTTAAATCTTTCACAAAATGGTTTAAAAGCAAAGCATTGACAGATGTAGTAGCTTGCAAGGGACCTGTTTTGTATATTTTCAATGTAATTAAAAGTTTTAGGATTTTTTGAGGTTTTGAAATTTTGAGGTTTTCTCATAGCCTATATTAAATGCAGTTTCAAATTTATATGTAATGTTTTATTGAGTTGATAAATGTTAAATATCTTTTCCATACCTAATTACTATTCTTTATTTTGCTTAGTTTATATACTTTTTTTTTGAGTTAAGAATATTATTTGGTTTTAAACCAGTTTAATTGTTTGATTTTAAACCAGTTTAACTTATGTTTACAGTTCCTAAATATTATATTTACGTAACCATTACTTGTTTGCAGAAGGTATGTATGAGATTTTTTTTACATGTTGTATTATAATGCTATTAATTATTAACAAATTTTTATATATTGTTTGTTCACTTTTCAAAAAATTAAATTAAAAATATGGTATATTAACTCTTTGTGTGTATATATATATATATATATATATATATATATATATATATATATATATATATATATATATATATACATATATATATATATATATATATATATATATAAATATATATATATGTATATATATATATATATATATCAGGCCTTGCGATGAATAAGAACTGCGCGACGCATAAGCACGACGCGATTTTTGACGTCATTAAATTCTTTTTATTTGCTTTTCATATTTATCGACATTAACTGCACCAATTTACTTAATTACCGCAAAACTACTTTAAATCGTTTATGTAGAAATGTTATTATTTTAAAATGTTTTGGAATGTTTCGTTTTTTAAAATGTAAAAACATTTGTTTATTTTCTCGACGTTTGTCGCGTTTTGTCTATACTAAACGAATAAAAAACATAACTTAAATTTAAAAAAGATTATAAAATATGCTAATATTTGATTTTTTTTTTCTTAAATATGTAATTTTTAATTTAATTTAAAGGTTTTCAAATAATTATTTTTTCTTTTTAAAAAGTCAGCGAGTAATAAACTGGAAATTTTAATATTGTACGATTAAAAACTGTGCAATAGCTAATATTTTTACAAGCGATTTTATATAATATTTATTTATTTTTATTTATTTTCATAAAGCGGTTGATAAGCACAATCACTCGTATTAATAAAAAACTTAAACAAACGTTTTGAATAGATTTTTAATGTTAACAAGGAATTTTATTTCTATTAAAATAAAATAAAATGTTAGAATAAAAATCTTATAGGTATAAAAGAAATATTTCAGCGAAAAAATTATTCTTAAAAATTATTCTTAAAAATTATTCGAAATTCTATTGACGTTCTATTTTTCAGCAGCTGTTCTTGAGCACGCTTCGATGAGTTTCGGTAACTTTTAACATAAAAGCAAATTTTAAGTAATTTTTTTGAGTTACTTTTTACAAAAATTTTAATAACTGTACTTTTTTATTGAATCAAGTAGAATACGTTTTGATATTAATCTTTTTTTTTTTTTATTTGCCCTCACCAATTTTTAAAATGTTTCCTCGAAATCACTCTTAAATACTTTAAATACGTCTAACAGTTAATAAATATTTTTAAATCTATGGAATAATTTTAAAACCTATCAAACCCCTGTAAAATAATTATTTAAGTTTAAAATCTAAAACTAAAAGAAAGTATTTTTGTTCAATTTTATCGGCAACGTTGCTATTGCTGAATAATTTTATTAAAATGTTAGCTTAAAAGATTTAAACTTTTTTTTTAATTTTTGAATTTTTTCTACTTCCAAATAATGAGCATATTTAATTTTTTTAAATTCAAACTTTTATTTCAGCTGCGTGCGGTTTTTAAATTACTTTATCAAATGTTAAAATGATCGTAAATTACTTCATTAAAATTCCGCTCAAAAATATCTTTAAATATACTCAAACAAAAAATTTTTTGCTCGACGCAAATAGCCCTAGCTACACGCAAAATCGCCCTTGGACGACGTAAAATTCACATCGCCCGACGCTTTATCGCAAGGCCTGATATATATATATATATATATATATATATATATATATATATATATATATATATATATATATATATATATATATATATATATATATATAGGTACGCGCATATCGTGATTTACGGAACCGATTTTTTTGCTAAAATTTTGTGACTCGTTTTTTTCACTTCTTTTTAGGCAGCGTGGGGTAAACGTAATTTTGTGGTGTTTCTTTTTAGAAACATATATACACATAGATACTTTTTGAAAAGAAGAGAAGCTAATCTTTACTTTTTTAAAACTTTTATGTATGGTTACTAGACTTTTTAACAGATTATTTTGCTCCTGAATATTTGGTTGATGTTTTCACATGAATTTGCAGTCGAAGGCATGTCGTGTCCGCTTTTTTTGTTATTCAGGCAATTTTTTACATGCATTTTCTATTTATGTGCCAAATTTCAACGAAAAATAATTGGGAGCAGATATGTTACAAGGTGCTTTATTAAATATACTGCTTTTTTTAGGTAGGGTTAGACAAACGTTTTTTGTGGTGTTTCTTTTTAGAAACATATATAAATAAAAGTTATATTTGGAAAGAAGAAAGGTTAGGCTTGATTTTTATAGTACTTTTATGTATAATCACTAAACTTTTTTATGGTTAGTTTTGCTGAAAACTTTCAAGAAAATTTCGTTGATGTTCTCACATTAATTTGTTGTCGAAGGAATGTCGTGTCCACTTTTTTTGTTATTCAGGCAATTTTTTACATGCATTTTCTTTGCACATGCCAAATTTCAGCAAAAAATAATTGGGAGCAGATAGTTTAAGAAGTGTAGGACTTTCGGTACCTAAATTCGGTTTTTTTTGTTTTTGTTTTATCAGTAAGAGAAATACGGGGGAGGATAGGGGGGAAGCGGATTGTAAACAAAAAATTACTACTACATTGTATTATTTTAATTCTTAATATTAGATTAAAATTCAAATAAAAATGGTAAAGTTATGAAAAAGAAAACTTTAAAAAGTAAGTTAATATGTTTTTCATGATAATAATAACTTTTTTAAAAAACAAAACAATGATAAATTAAAAAACCTTAATCTTTGTTTACATGGCATGTAAACAAAGATTAATGTTTTTTAAACTATATATACCAATGATGGTAATATATACCAATGATGGTATATTAAAAAAGATTAAGATTTAAGATTAAACTGTTACTTTGGAATATTTTATTAACTATTAGTATCAGATACCAATGTTGTTAATACACCATGTATATAAAAATATACAAACAACATTACTATACTTTAAAGTAAAACATTATTGGCTTAAGCCAATAACGTTTTTGACAAAATATTTTTATAAAAATAAGCTTATTTTTGTAAAAATATCAAGATACTTTTACAATTATAAGTTTATTCTTATATCTTGTTGGTGTCTTTCTAATATACAGTAATATAATTTTAAAATACAGTAATATTATTTGTTTTTATTTTTTTTTTTTTCATACCTTTTTCTTGTTAGTAAAGTTGTTATACGTAAAGCAGAACTGATTTAATAACTTATTTTTATTGACTGTTGACAATTTCAAGATCTTTTTTTTTTTGATTATACAATTTTTTTGTTATCATTATTCCAATATGCACAGACTACAGCTGGTAAGTTATTATAGCATAACTTTTATTAACCATTAAAGAAATATAAATAAATATATGTATTTCCTACTTATTTAATTAATACTTGTTGTGTATGGATTTCCCATTTGCTGCAATTTTTTAATTTTAGTATCTACCTTTTGTGTTACACTTGGTAAGTTAAACAACTTTTTAATGTGAAATTAAAAAGTTGTTTAACTTTATTTCCTTTACAATATGTTTAACTTTATTTCCTTAGTCATGTGCTGCAACTATTAATTTAAAAAACTATTACATTTTATGTGTATGCATTTCTCGTTATTTAAAAGATTGATTTTTTGTTACAACATTGTAATTTTAGTATCTACCTTTTGTGCTACACCTAAACAACTCTTTTTAATGTGCACAAATTTCTCATTGATTGCAATATTGATTTTTATAATATATTTTTTACCTTTAGTTCTTTATAACCTTTTTTCTTTTAACATGTGTATGCATTTTTTATCAATTGCATATTCTTTTTTGCAATTGCATTTCTTATCAACTGGTTTTTAATTTAAACCATTTTTATATAAAAATTATTACTTTTTAGACTATGAATGCATTTATTACCATTTGCAATTTGTATTTTTTATTAAAACAAATTTTACTTTTAGTTCCATTTGTACCACCTTTAAACGGTAAATTTATAAATCTAGAATGTCTCTGATTTTTTACTGAGTTCCTCTTATTCCTATTTATATAATCTGTTTACTACTTTTGTGTTTTGTTATCTCTCCAAGTGCTATAAAAGGAGAATCAGAAGCTTATACATGTTTGAGTTTTTATTCTGATTAACTTTTATTAAAAATTTCATTGATTCATTAATCATTCTTTATATATATTCAGACAAACTGTCTTGGTAAGTATTTATTTTAATTTTTAATTACATGAATTACAAATACATTAATACTTTATTTGTTTTTAGAGCTTACATATAAAGCTTATAGGTCATGTCGATCTTAAAACTAAAATCATTTACTAAAAGCCAAGACATAGAGTAATTACTATGTTTTAAAACATTTTATTATTATTTTTTTTTATTAGGTTGGTGGGTTAAATATGATCATTTAACTGAGAAAATGTATACTAGTGCAACTTGTAATCTGGTAAAACAATTATGTATTGTGCTTTCTCTTTTTTAATAATTGCATGTGAAAATGTTGAAAATCTCTTTTCTATGTGTTTTCTTTTTTATGTTGGTTGAGGGGAAGGGGGAAAACTATCCCTCTCCTCAAATTGTACATCACTAATGTATGTTCTATAGTAAAAAAAATATTGCTTTATGTAATACAACAATATTTTCAATACCAATGTATGTTGTATAGTTATAGAAGATTATTTTTTGTCACGTGGGGGGAGGGAGTGCATCATACTTCCTTCATTTCAAGTCAATGTGTGCATCAATAATATATGTTGAATAGTAATAAAAGATTTTTTTTAATTTTTAACAATGCATTTAATTATTGTAATAAAGAAAAAATTATTTTTATTTTTTATGAGTCGGAGGGGGGGGGGCGACATACACCCTCCCCTAAAGTTAGTGTTGTATATCACTAATGTATGTTTTATAGTAAAAAAAAATATTTTTACTTTTTAACAAAATATTAAATTACTGTAAAAAAGATTAAATTATTTATTAGAAAGTATGATTATTGTATTTAGGGTGTTATAACATCACAACCACATCTATGGTCAACTCTAAGATCACCTTATTTTGTTTGGCAGTGTTTTGGAATCAAGTTATGGCAATATTTTGTGTATAAAATCTAACAATTACATTTAAAAAGTGCTTATTTCTGACAAAAACTTGTATTTTCTTAAGGGTTAGATGGTGTTTCATTACCCCCTCTGGCTCCCAAGATACACCCTACATCCAGGCACCAAAATGAACTTGTAGCCCATTAGTGCACCTATCTTGTGATACCAAGATATAGGTATTTGGATAAAAATTGACAAAGTTATAACAATTTAAGTGAAAAAAATAATTATTTTGACCACAGTTTCTTCAACAATTCCATATATCTAAAATTTGTTACTAAAAATGTTATAACTTTTTTTAGAATTGTTCGTTTTTAATAATTTTTTCACCTTTAAAATACTGTATTAAAGGCCTTTCTAATGATGTATAACATTCTACTATATGATCAATATAAAAATTTCAGTGCACGTACCTAATATATATATATATATATATATATATATATATATATATATATATATATATATATATATATATATATATATATATATACATATATATGTTTTATTCTTTATATATCTCTACTAATATAATGACTTGGTGATTTGGTAATTCGATCCCTATTTAAACATTCACCTAACTAATTGCTATAGTACCATAATAACAATAGTAATAATAATTACCAGAGTACCATATTAACATAAATACCATAAGTAAATACCAAATAAACAACCAAACATTTTTACAACAACTTGATTTAGAGAATTCAATTGCACAACATATTTCTTTTAATAATTGTATAACTTTATTATTCTACTTCAATTCGTCAAAGTTTGTTTAATAATAATTCCATAAGCGAAGCTTATCTATTAACAAATTCAGCGTGGATGATCCAGAATAAGGTTTATCATTTGAACGCATGCGTAATAGCAACTCAATCCGTTCTAGGTCTGCGTTTTTTTGAAAATTCAAAACCTTATTTTGGATCATCCTAAAGAACGCTAACCGTTTAATGTTACCCAAGTTACCCAGAATGACTGTACGCGTTTTTTTTTTTAAATTTTATTTACTAACATTTACTAACGTATTACGGGTTGCTTACTGCTAGTATTATTAAATAAACCAGAATTAAAGCAGATTTTGAAAAACATACCAGAACAAACAGAAAAAGACTTAAGTCTTTAAAATAAGCCAGATTTAAGCTAGATTTTCTAAAATAAACCAAAACAAAAATTTCAAGCCAAATGATAAAAAAACAAACCATATTTATAAAATAAGGCTTAAAAAAACACCAGATGGCTACCCTGATGAAAAGCTGTTTTTATCAAATGAAAATGATAATAGCTCTTCATACAAAGTATGGCAAAAAGCTCTTTCCGATACCGAGAAAAAACCTCTTTTAGATGTCAATATAAAAGAGGAAGCATTTTCTACATCTTTTATATGTTTAAACATAGGAGAATAATTTATAAATAAAACAAAAGCATTGTTTAACTGAATATTTTTTCATCTTTCTCTTTCTTTTCTGTTTCTTGAGCGAGCTCTGTTTCTTGACGTTGTTGAATAAAATTAACAATTTCACGTCGAGAAATCCTTTCATACAAGCTGGTTACGACTTCTAAAAAACAAGTAAACATAAAAAACAGTCTATTGCTTGAATTTAATACAAAAAAGCAAATGAAACTTGATTAGCGGAGTGAAACACATTAGACTTACCGACTATTAATTCAAAAAGGGCTAACCCTTTTAATCCCCTCATATTTCCAGCGCGGTCCTTTCTTTTTGAACCCACTAGGTAAGATTAGGACAGGAGTCTAAAAATATATAAAATGAGTGTGCTAAAGAAATTTACGACCATCAAAATGACTGTATAACAATGTATTTTATTATGTAGTACTTAAACCAAGCTAAACATTTGCACCTCTCAGATTTGCTATGAAGGCCAAGTTATTGAAAACAGATACTTTTTTTATCTTCTATGACGTAAGTTTTTAATCGAATTTCGCTGAAATTAAGTGTTGTAGACTCATAACAATTTAAAAATCCGTTATTGACTAAAGACTATCAAAACGAAAAGATAATTCAGCTAATACAGCTTAAGAGTTGTTATTCATTTAAACTGGATAAAAGTATTAATTAAAATAAAGCTCTATTTTAGCCTGAAACATAATGATGCTTTACTTAACAACATAAAATTATAAAATCTGGCAATATCATTAGCAACGCAGACGAAATTCACATAAACAAAAATGAAGACTAGAAAGCTGCAATGATGTTTAGATATAAGAAAGTTTTCCTTTCCAGTATCATTTTTGCTTGGTATTTTGTATGCAAACCAAATAAATCTGTTGTCATTATGTGCATTTTTTTACTTGCTTTTTTAACGACAGACTGGGACAAATCTCTAACTTTTATTTTTTATAAGTTTATGTGTAGACAAATGCCATACTAAATTATCACCTATGAATACTTTTGATGTACCGTTTTCATGACTGAAGTAAATTATTATCAATAATTGCAACCAATCGCTTAAACAGTAGCTATCAAACCGTCCAGTTTTTGTCCATTTACAACTTAGACTAATTGGAAGAAATACAAGAAATACACAAATACAAACATAATAGAAACTGATGACCTCATGATATATTCATAACTCTTTCAGTGTGTTTAATACCCATTTAGAATATCATTTGTTTTGATATTGGGTCATTGGAAAAAGTTTTCATATAATCTAATTTCTCGCAGAAACTTAGTGTCAGTGATAGTGTTGTTATTGTCAAATAATAGCTGTCAAATATTATTTGAAAACAACTTTTATTTGAAAATAATTATTATTCGCATTAGCCCCCGACCAACATGTTTTTAGTTTTCATACTAGACTACCGGGAGATTCTTGGTATATAGTATCACCACTGCCTAAAGCTACAAACATTTTTAACTTGAAAATGATGTCAAGTTTTAAAAGAATACTCAATTTGAATGCTTTGTAAAGTTTTATTTAGGGGGAGAAAATAATTTAACAATAAAAAGAATATATATTTGTAGACTTTAGGTTAAATATCCTAATTTGTTTTTGTAATTAAGTTCCATTCTAACTTTTACAGTTCTCTGTTGTACATTCAGAAAATTGATAGAACATTTTCTAAAAAAATTGAATTTGAAATCCTTTTTTTTTCCTCCCTGCTAATTAATCCCCATACGAGTGGCGGATTCACCATAGGAAATATAAGAGGGGGGGAAGGGGAAGGGGGCGAGATACCCCCTTTCCCTATGCCCTGTGGTGAATCCCCTCCCCACTTAAAATCTACTTGCTCCGGCCCTCTTTCAAATATATGTATGCATCAATATCTGCTGCTATGACGACTGAACTATAAATGAACGGCGTATTCATTCTTAATAGAAATAGATAGCATCATGTTTTCCTAACTTGTCTATACTGTACAAAAACAAATTCACTCTTTCTTTTACATATGTTTATGATGAGAGAAGTTTCAGTAAACTAAAGATCAAAAAGTATCTGTGAGCAACAATGACAAAGTAACGTCTATTTGAATTAACATTAATTCTAATTAAATGTGAGTTTGCTGAGAGCATTGACAATCATTTTGTTTCAACCCAGAAGGAACAGACGTCTATACATCGCCTTATTAATGTTTTTTTTTCTTAAAGCTTGCTTTCAGTAAAATATATTGTGTAAATATATCTTTTTAAATTTTTTTTTTTTTGACGATAATTGTTAACTAAATAAACTTAGCAAACTCAAACTTTAGATTGTTTTGTGTCTTAGATGTACTTAGTAGTTATAATAAAAGACACATTAAAGCATTGATAAAGTATATTTATCACAAGTGCAATTTTAAAAAAAACCGTTTCTAGTGATAATGTACCATACCATCTCCAACACTTGTCAATATTGACACCCTTGTATACAATACCACCTCCAACCCTTGTCACACACAATTTATTCCCATGCCCCTTCCATTCCCCCCCCCCCCCCCACGACGCTAAACCTCAATCCGCCACTGCCCCATAAGATATTTCAATCTCATATTTAGATATTAGATTAATAAAATATTTCAATCTTTTAAACATTTTTAATACAAAAATTTAATAAAAACTTATTAATTTATATTTAGATAAAATATCTGCGCTAGAAGTAATTAAAATTTTACTTTTTTCATCACTGCTTTTTTCATAGTTGTGAAAACTGTTCCGCCCTAATAAAAAAGACTGTTGGTCAAAGCAAACAAAACTATTGGTCATGTTTTTATGTCTAAAATGACGGACGGGATTTGTTTACGCCGTAATATGAAATAACGATCTAGCTAGATCTAAAGTTCCGGTGTATATTACGATATGATGCAAACTGGTATTTGATTTTTTTTTTTATAGATTTTATAATAGAAGATGTCAATGTCATCGGTTTTTATCTTAGATCTTAAAGGAAAGGTAATTTTTTAGTGTTTCTATTTATTATTAGATATTTTTTTATAGACATATTATTAAGAACATTGATAAAATGCTATAGTTTTAGAAAGTGGAGTAACTTTTATAGTAAAATGTAAGTTTGTTTAAGTATTGTTTTTTCGTTCATTCCTTGATCATTTTATATGTATGTGTTAGTTATGTTTAACTAAAAAAAAGTTATTTTATTAATTTTAAAAGGTTCCTATGTTAGTATTGTTATCTTATATAAAAAGATTAAAGCAATTTGGTTTTGTTTATCTAAATATGCTTATTTTAAAAATTTATTTTTAAATATGAGGTATTCAAGGTTTAGTAAAATTAAAAAACAAATAATTAATTGATATATCAGAAACTATATTTCTTTCTTCTTAATCTGAAACTTCTGACTCTTGTCATTTTAGATCAATTTCAAAAAAATACATTTTAAATTTAGTTTTAATTATTCTCAATGTAAAGTTTGGAAGTGTAAAATATCCTTTTTTTTAATAACTAATTCAATTTTTTTTTAAAGTTTTCTAAAGTTTTAATTTATAAAAGTTTAATGATATTCTTTAAATGTTTAATAGTTATCATCTGTTGTATTTATTAACATACTTACCTGATATGCATTCATATCATATAGTATAACATTAAAATATACTTTTAATATCATATCAATTTATATAACTTAATAATTATAAATTTTTGTTTAGAACTTGATATGTCGAACTTATCGTGGAGATATCAACATGAATGTGATAGAAAAGTTTCTTCCACTTGTACTTGATCAAGAAGAAGATAGTGCAGATCAGCCAATAGTTGTTTGCGGAGATGTAACATTTGTGTATATAAAGTATAACAACCTCTATATTGTAGCAATTACTAAAGCAAATTCTAATGTAGCACTTATATTCTCATTTCTTCATAGGCTAGTTAGGGTAAGTAAAAATATTATCATTTTTTTCAAAAGCTAGTTTGGGTGAGTGAAAATATTCTTATATTTTCACAGACTAGTTGGATGAAAATATTTTTATTTCATTGCAGGCTAGTTAGGGCAAGTGAAAGAGTAATTAGGTTTGTTATTCTGCTCTTTTTATTGGCTAGTTATATGAATAAGTTGAAGCTTATTACAAGTACATAAAAAACATATATGTAAGTTGTGTTTGTAAGATAAGTTGCAAGAGGCAATCAATCAACAGTTTTAGATAATTTTGACAACTTTTAGATAATTTAAACTCTAGGTAAGCATTTTCCACTAAAACCTCTCACCATAAAAAAATTGCAGTCTAAACATAAGTCTTGAATAACCCAAGAAGATAAATTATATTTAAAAATTTGAATTTAACTCTAGTAAGAGATAAAACATTTTGTTTATTTAAAATATACAAATATTTGATAAGCAGTTTATTAAAAATCCATAAAAAGTCTGTTTAAAAACAATATATTATAAAATTTTATAACTTTATAATATATAACAAATGGTTAATGGTGTTCCCCTAAACTCCAATTTGTAACTATGAATGAAAGAATCTCCTTAACCTTGTCTGTTAATTCAGGAATCCTCCAAATATCCTTGGCCTTCTGCTTTTCTTGATATATATTAATCAATTAAATATATGCCCTTATAATGTGTTTACTATTTTGCTGATGACACTAATTTGCTTATAATTAAAGACTTTGTTGACAAAGTTCATAATAAAACCAATGAAGCCATTTTCACCGGATGAGAACTAATAATATCTTCATATTAAAAACTAAAGTTTCAAGATTTGTCTTTTTAAATAAAACAAAACAAAGCTATCTTTAAAACTACTCATAAACAATTATTTTCATCAGTCTATACATAAATTAGTACTCCTATTGTTGCTTTTTTTTTATCCTGTTATCTCACTATATTTTTTGTATTCACTCGATAATGATACTTTTTTTACTATTATCATTCTTACTTTTTTTACTATTTGTAATTTTAACCTTTTATTATTTACTATTTTATTATTAGTTTTTTTTTAAACAATTTTTTGCTTTTTTCAAATTATTATTATTGTTTTAATTATTATATTGTAATATATGTAAATGATATATAATATCAAAATATAATAATTCCTTATCTTTTGTTTTTAATATGCATATATATATATATATATATATATATATATATATATATATATATATATATATATATATATATATATATATGTGTGTGTATATATATATATATATATATATATATATATATATATATATATATATATATATATATATATATATATATATATATATATGTGTGTGTGTGTAATTATATATATATATATATATATATATATATATATATATATATATATATGTATATATATATATATATATATGTGTATATATATGTATATATATATATGTATGTATGTATGTATGTATGTATGTATGTATGTATGTATGTATGTATATAAGTATGTATTTATGTATGTATATATATGTATTTATGTGTATTTATGTATGTATATATATGTTTATATGTATGTATATAAATACAGGGGCTATTCTGTAAAAATAATTTGGGTCGTGGTTCACCCTGTGGCAGCGCCTGGCGTAAGGATATTTTGAAGAAACATTGTTGTATATAGGCATTTTTTCTAATAAAAATTTTAAAATATTTACAAAAAAAAAAGTTTCTCAATGTCTAAACTTGGGCAGCACCCAAATACATTTAATGCCGTCAAAAAGGGTCTAGAATAGATCCTGATATATATATTATATAATATATTGTTTAGAAAATTACTTATATTTGATATATGTATGTGTGCTTATGTATGTATGTATATATTGATATGATCTGCAAGAATTCATTTTGGGAAGTCAAAATAGCAATTTCAGATTGTCAATGACCATTGACCAACTGTTATTACCCACACTGTTTATATTTATATATATATCAAGCTTGGTCAGTAAGCAGGTGCGATCGTACTCGATAACTGACCACGGAAATAATGTTTAGTTGCAAAAAATTGGTCAGATTTTTTAGTCATTTTGAGAACATTTAAGTTTATGTATGTTTCGTTGTTTGTTGGCAAAATAATAAGTTCATTATTTTATCATAAACTTTACAATATGTTGTTTTACAGACTTACATGGAAACATACATAAACTTGAATGTTCTCAAACATCTTTGTGCAGAAAAATAAAAAAAGAATATTCGTGAACACAAAAAACCAGCCAAATCTACGAACAACTTATTCTATTTGTTCAAAAAATACTAGCCAAAATTTCTCGAGTATTCAAAAAATACTAACCGAATGTTCTAGAATATTCTATTGAAATATTTTTAAAAATTGTATTATTTGAGTTTTTTTATGTTCTCGTTGAGATTTCTAGCATAAATTGTTTTAAGAATATATCCTATCAAACGAACAATTATTTTAATACTATGACTCATTTTCGGAGCCGCATCTACATAGCTATAAATGTTTTTAACTAACATTATTTGTTTACAAAAATAAATGTTTTAAATTTATATTTTTTAACTTGTCAATGTTTGTAAATATAATATAGATTTTATAAGTATATTCTTATTTTTTATATATAAGGGATGTATTTTTTATGTATGTAATGTATTTTTATATATGTAATGTATTTTTATGTATGCAATGTATTTTTCATGTATGTAATTTTATGTATGTGTATTTTATTCAAATGTAATCTTTTAAAGCAATTTGTGCGATTGATTTTGTAAACAACTGATTTTGTAAACTTTCAATAATAACTGCGTTTTCAATAAAATTATTAATAATCATCAAAGGTAATACAAATAATTTTAACCACTAATCCATTTTCTTCAGTGTACCCGATAACTGATTCTTTCCCCCAAGAAAGACAAGTTTTTAAGTTTTTATAAATTGGTTTACTAACTTCAATTATTTTTGCTTCAGCCATTCTAACAAACTCGTTATACTTAAACTTAAAGTTACTCTTTTCTGTTTTAAATACTAATTAAAATTATAAAGCCCACTCACTAAACATCATCAGTGGTATTGTGAAGCAGTTTCGCTTCTTACTCACTAAGTAATTTAACGTTTTTAGTTAATTTCTATCTAGCTTATTGAATTTCTACAGTAACTCAATGATTTAATTATTTCATTTGTTCCACTTACTAAGTAGAATTGTTTCAAATATGTTAAACTTTGCAAACTATGCAAAGTATAAAATAGTTATTAAAAATTTTTTTTTATTTATAAATCTAGCGTTAGTTTTATTGGTTGAGTCTTGTTAGACTTTTCAGGGTCAGGAGCTGCATTATTTAGGTGGCCTTTTTTATGTTCCACAGCGTAAAAATGACTAAAAAAATACCGAATGATCCTCTTGACTATTACCCAGCCCCTAACATTGTGAGTCCTGGGGCTATAGCCTTTCTACTCCCCTCCCCCCCCCCCTCCTACTTCCTCAATCCAGCACTGAAAATAAGACATAAGTATATAAATAAAAATTATATATACTCTTTGATAAATTGAAGAATATTTGTTTCCTTATTAAATAATCATTAATAGTAAGTCATTTTAAAAAAACTTATAAAAGAGCGACGTTTCAAAAATATTTGCTCTAATTGTATTTACTTTGCTTTTTTTTTTGCGTTAAAAGTTTAGTTTTTTTTTTTTTTTTTTTGTCCGATGGTTTTTATAAATTTCAAACAAATATTTTAGCTTTCAAAATCTCTTTTAAATTTGTTTTTTAAAAATTTTAATGTCATAATTATTTTAATGCTTATAGAAACCAGTACTTTTAATTACACTATTAAATTTGAGTTGTTACATAACATTTATTTTCACGCCTAAAGTTTTCGCTTTTAAAAGCGTTAATAAAATTAATCCTAGAAAAAGTTTAAAAAGATTCATAAAAAAATACACATTTATATAAATGTAAATACCTATATTATACTTTGATAATTTAAATAAAATGTGTTTATTGTAAACATTAGAATTAATTAGTAACTTTATTTAATAAAGTAATGAGTAATGTTTAATAAACTAACAACTTGATAATTTATGTATTTAATATATATTTACATAGTAATTGGTGTATTTAATAATTTTGTATTTATTGTACATTCTTATTCCATATTTAATTATGTATTTAATAATTATATAATTTATGTATTTAATATATTTATGTAATAATTTATGTATTTAATAATTTACAAAGCATTTCGCATAATATAAATTTTTAAAAAAGGTAGTGTAAATATATTTCCCTTTTTAAATTTTAGTTTTTTAAGCTTAGATTTTTCTATATCTTTAAGATTTTCTTTTTGATAGAAAATTTATTTTATATATTATTATATATATATATATATATATATATATATATATATATATATATATATATATATATATATATATATATATATATATATATATATATATATATATATATATATATATATATAAACACACACATAGATATATACACATATATAGCTATCTAAGGAAAGTTGTATGACCACGCATAAAATATATACTTTTTTAATAACATGGACAGGGTTTTTTGCATATATTGACAAATTGTGTTGAAAAAACCAAATTGTCAATATACGCAAAAAACCTCTCATTAAATTAGTTTTTTCAACACATTTATATACAATAAGTGCATTGAAAAAACCAAACTAATTTATAGAGAGAATTAAAAATAAACAAATCATAAACTGAAAAGAGAAACTAACTTAACAATTGCTAAAATAAATAAAAGATAAACCTGAGAAAATAAAACCATAAAACTAATACATTTTTTAATTTAAAAGCGTTTCAATTAATAGTTAAAACTTAATTATTTTAGAAGTGTTCCTATTGATAGTTTAAACCTAATAATTTTCCTTTTATTGTCACATTGTTGTAGTGCAAATGTTGATAAATTTGTATCATTTATGAGTCACGAATATCATATCAGCATTGGTCCAGGGTTTTAATCCTTCTAACTAAATTTTTTTTTAAAATATGTTTCATTTGCTTTGAAGACATTAGAAAATATCAAAGTTTCAAGTTTATATATATATATATATATATATATATATATATATATATATATATATATATATATATATATATATATATATATATATATATATATATATATATATATATATATATATATCATGGGCTATTCTTTGTTTTTTTGTTTTTTTGTTCTTCTATTCGTATAATCGTTTTTGACAGCGTTGATCGTATTTGGGTGCCGCCCAAATTCAAAATTAATGATCTTTTTATATATATATATATATATATGGCAAATATTGTTTTTGTTTTTTTTTGAAAAAAAAATGCCTACATTCTGAAATATATATGCCAAATTTTGCCTGCATGGGGGATACCGCCACCCATATCATTTTCCTAAAAATACCCCTGTATATATACATATGTATGTGTGTTTCACAAAAATAGTAGTAAACATTATTTAATGTATTATATTAACAATATTTTTGTGTGTGTGTGAAATATATTGATTGTTTTTTGTTTTATGTTTAGGTTTTTACTGAATATTTTAAAGAGTTGGAAGAAGAAAGTATAAGAGACAATTTTGTATTGATTTATGAACTTTTTGATGAGTTAATGGATTTTGGCTATCCGCAAACTACAGATACTAAAATCCTTCAAGAGTGCGTGTTTTTTAAGATAAATGTTTAATTTATTATTATAATCAAATAATTTAATATTAAAGTTTATTTAAAACACATTAGATTTTATGCTTTTTTAGTTTTTGTCCAGGTATAATGCTATCATGCCTTTATTAGAGGTTACTCAATATTTTTTATAAATTGGTAGAATGGCAAACAGATTTTGTATTTCATATTATTTTCATTATTACTAATATAATTTCTATTTCTATGGATATTGGCTACTAATATTTAACTTTTTTTTTAAGTTTAAAGTTTAGGCAACAAAATTTTTCTCTTTTATTATATAGATATATAACACAACAAAGTCATAAGCTAGAAACAGCACCAAGGCCACCTCCAGCAGTAACAAATGCAGTATCATGGAGACAGGAGGGTGTAAAATATAGAAAAAATGAAGTTTTTTTAGATGTTATTGAATCAGTAAATTTGTTAGTTAATACCAATGGAAATGTACTTCGCAGTGAAATTATTGGTAATGTGAAAATGAAGGTTTATTTAACTGGAATGCCTGAACTTAGACTTGGTTTGAATGACAAAATACTCTTTGATAATACTGGTCGTAAGTTTATTTTTGATTATAAAATTGATGTGAAAGTTATTTATTAGGTTTTTATTTTAATTAAAAAAAGCATGCTTTAACTTAAAAGTATATTATCTCATTGATAATCATTTAGATTCTGACCAAAAATGTGAGTTTGTTAAAAAAAAATCTTGCCTATGGCCTAGAATTTTTTTTGGAAATATTAGTAACTTAATTGAATTGCTAAACTTTGGTACTTTAGTCAACACAGTATTTTTCATTCTTGCCAAAGTTATTATTTAATATCCCGGCTGTCCCAAAGAGATCTTATGGGGTGAGGGTGTATGGCATATCTGTTTTTTGCCTACTAGCGACTTAAAAATAAGGTCTTTGTTATTTGATATTTTCAGGCTATTGGACTGAAATTGCTGACCTTCTGCAAAAAATTTTGAATAAAATTTTTGCAGAAGGTTATACACACCACTACACCTCCCTCTCTATATGATATCTTAAAAAATATTCTTAAATTGGGTACTTTATTTATTAAAGAAAAAAAGCATATAGTAGTGATGATATTATAGTTTTAATTGGTGTGATCTGGTTAGTGGTATACAGCAGGGCTCCTATTTAGGGTCACTATTCTTCGATATGTTTATTTTGAACTCAGTAGTAATGACACTTTTCATTAAACTATTTTTTGATGGTACTAAATTAATTGCCATCATAAAATATGCAGTGATTAACATATTTTTTTAAAACAACATTAACACAGTTTCTGAGCATGTTATTTATAATATTTCAATCAGGTGTGGTTAACAAAAAAAAGTTTAGTGTAGTGTATTATTTGGCAAAACAAATACCATTCTGACAAATAGTTACAAAATCTAAAGCTTTTTTTCAATTTTTATAATTTAAGTTTTTTTTATATATAATAATCTCTTTTTTTTATTTCTGATTTTTTAATGGAATAAATGATTTGTACACCACATTTATGTCAAAAATAAATATATAATATATTTCCTGGACTGATTGGCCATTAAAACGTATTAACCAATCCACATAAGAAAACAACCTTTTACTGGAAGAGAAAAAATAAAGTTTATAGAGCAAGATAATGGAAAGTTGGCTGCAAGAGCAGGTCCAACTATGTTTACAAGGCATTTTTGCACCTTGTCTAAAAGAGAAAGAGCATCATTAGAAGATCCGCCCCAGATATGACAACAGTATTCCATACAAGGCAGGATTTGAGATTTATGGAGATAAAAAAAAGTGTCAAGCTCAATAAAGAGATGCAACCTTAGCAGGTGCTCATCAAGTACATAACCATCCATAAATATAGGAAGATCTAAATTTTTGCGATAACAATTAACTGAAAAAGTTTTATTTGAGTTAAAGTTCACTAGCCACTGTGAGCCCCATGTTGTAGCAGAAGTGAGATTCTTTTCGAGCTCAAATGCTCCCTCGAAGCAATCAAAGAGTGTTTTTTTTTACGGCTCAGCCCCAGCTCCTAAGAAATGTCTGACTCAGCTCCGGCTTCTGTACTTTATGAACAAAAACCGCAAATTTTGGAATATTTTATATAACATTTGCCTACCAAAATCCAAACCAATTAAAGCATTTTTTGTTAATCACAATTGACCTCCCTAAGGCCATGATGGCCGCAGTTGAGAAGGCTATTTTAGTTATGGTTACAACTCTCTCTCAACTCTAATTCCGAAACACAAACCTTGACAAACTAGACTGCTGAGAAACAAGTTGATTTAAATTTAATTTTTAATCAACTTTCATGTTTACAAAGTTAAATTACCATCACTATTACTATCACTACTCTACTACCGCATATTACATTTGAAAAGAAAAATGTTTTGGGTAAATATACAATTATTTCAATATATAGCTAACCCAAAACTAAAGTTTTTAGTTAAAACCTTAGTTCTAATTCTACCCAGTGGAAGCGGTACCTAAAAAAGATGTCTTTTGAATATTCAAAAAATCTCCAAAACATTTGAAAGATGTTCAAAACAAGTCTTTTTTATGTCCCGTGCCCACTGGGTAGTATAATTTTTAAGATATGAATAACCTTTGATCATTAAATTGCCATCAAATATTTAACAGCATACTATCAATATAAAAATAGCAATATATGTAATGCTGTAAGAATGTTTCCATATATAAATTACTTTTTTTTTCTTAATAAAGCATATTAAGAAATGCTATTAAAGGATAGTATTTTGTTGAGTACAAAATCTTTTAAATATACATTTTTATTACATTTTGGTAAGACTAACTGTTAAAAAAAAAAAAAAAAATTCAATAAATAATTCATTCAACAAATTAAAAATAGTTAAACAATGAATGAATAATATTTGTCTACAGTAAAAAAAAAAACATACATTTTATTCCTTTAAAAAAACAAGAGAGCCAAGAGCTGCCTAATTTTTGCAACTCGGGCTCTATTCTGTATATTCATAATAACTAATAAGTAATAATAACTAATAAGTAACTATTGTTGTAAATAACAAGTGCCATCCATATTTGTTCAACTTTGAACAAATTGAAGGGAGAGAATTCCAAAGAACTGATGTTGGAGGAAAAAAACTAGTCAAATAATAATTTTTTTGCACTTAGAAAAGTCACAGTAAAAGGATGATACTTGATTGAATGACAATCTATGTATATTGATAACACTATCACCAATTTACCACCACTAATTACCATGATTACAATCTTTTCTATACAAAAGTGATCTAAATTTGTAGTGAAAGTCTTTTTGAACCAAATTTCTGTTACTCCAATGATACATGTATTTACATCACTATGCAGTATTAGTAATACTATGTAGAGATGTAAATCCATGCATCATTGGAGTAACGGAAACTTGATACTGAGTATCTTAAATTGCTCCTTTTTTATTTTTTAACAAAGTTTCCTTCATATATAAATACATAATGTGATCAATTGGCTTAGTTTTTTTAAATTTGCTGATTTTGTTTCTACAGATAGCATATAAAAATGTAGTATCAGCAATTGAGAGTTTAGCTTATTTATTTCTTGTCTAAATTGAAAATATTTGCTTTATTAAAATCAAGTAATATATATACATTTTTAGGTTACCAACATTTCTTAATTTTTTAAATTGATACAAAGGATGGTTTCTCATACTATCATTTTCTAACTCAACTAAAATTAGGCACTGTATTTCCTTAATTTTTTTGACCGCAATCTTCTTATGTTTTTTTGTTTTAACGTTGGCTCTCAGTTATTCATGTTCAGCTATTGCATAAACATTCTTTTTTCTTTCATATTGTTAATTGACAGATGCATTTACTACCAATAGTTGCCAATAGTTACCAATAGTTGCTGAGTGATAAGTGAGTTATAAGCGATTTTAATTACTCATTTGGTCTGATTTTCATTTTACTCATTGCTCGATTTTAATTTTATATCAATTCGCGCCATGATAGATTGCAACACAGGACCAAAGATAGATCTTTTGCTACCCTAAAAATTACTGGAATTAAAAAAGAATAAAATTAAAAATTGAAACTGAACTTAAAGTTATACTTTAAGACAACATTTATTAGGAAAAACCTAATGAATGTTGTCTATCAAGTATAACTTTAATACTTGAATACAAAAAAATGTTTAAATAGTTTTAAAAACTTTCCCAGATACATTATATAAAGATAGTTTATGGAGAAGACTAGCATGCTTTGTTCAAAGCCTACTACTTCTATCCAACGCTTGAACTTTTCTGCTATTATGGTTAACAAATCAGCAGTAGAGTAGGAAGATTCAAAGTTAGCTCAAAATGAATAATTACAAGTTTGTTAAAGACTCAAAGACCTTGTAAAGCTTATTAGACAATAGTTTCAGAATGATTTCAAGAGTTTTTTAAAATTGGAACAACCTTTTTCCAGCAGGTAAGAAAACAAAGTTCAGTAAAGCACTTGTTAAATAGATTAGAGAACAAAGAAGGCTGGAGAACACTTTTGTAAAATTATAAACATTACTTGCTAACAGTTATACATATCGCTGCTTTACTTTTCTTATCATTAAGTTTAAAAATAAACTTTTTTGATTTAAAAAAAAAAAAATAATGTTATGCGTTGAGATTTAGACAATTAGTTTCAAAAGCAAGTGAGCTCTTCCTTCTGAAAAAATATAGTGGATGTCAGATAGAATTATTAAATAGAATTATTAAAAAATTGTAGATTATTCAAAGTTTTTATATTGTTCTTAGCTGTTGATTGTTGTTACTATATATTCTTAAATAATAGCCTGTGTAATAACTCTTTTAGCTTCATTGTATCGAAACAAACTAGATAGGTTTCATAGTTCTTGCTCAAACCAAAAAACAGAAAAAGCCAGTTAGTGAATGAGCACCTGAGTTTTTGGTAAAAACTAATGCAGGACATACTTATGTTAATGAGTAATGATGCTAATTTTTAGCATAATACCATTTTTGCTCATTTCAAAGTTTTTATTTAAAGGTTTCATAATTCCAGAATATAACATCACTTATAAAATAATATCAATGCATAAACATAGGATATTTGAGAGTGATATTTCGAATTAAAAAGAATGTTTTCAATACTGATAACATACTAAGCCATCTATACAATGGATTGGCAATAAAAAAATTGACTCTCTTCATGCCTATTAACAATAAAAATTATAATTTTATCAATATTAATTAGTTTATTTATTATCATCATTATTTTTCTGCTTTGTTTAATTTTTTTCATAAGTCATGTTTTTTTTCTTTTAGGTTCAAAAAGCAAAGCAGTAGAACTAGAAGATGTTAAGTTTCATCAATGTGTTCGTTTGTCTCGCTTTGAAAATGATAGAACTATTTCTTTCATTCCGCCTGATGGTGAATTCGAATTAATGTCATATAGATTAAACACTCAAGTAAAACCTCTTATTTGGATCGAGTCTGTCATAGAAAGGCATTCTCACAGTAGAGTAGAGTATATGATAAAGGTACTTTTTTTTTATTCTTAAAAAAAAATTCTTGTACACTCCATATTTTTGCACTTCTACATTTTCATAGAATTTTTATAACCATAGTATAAATAATCTTTTGGTCACAATTTCTTTTATTGTTTGTAATGTAATTCAGTTATTATAGTTGTTTAAATTGTACTCATTGTTATTTGTGGTTAATAACAGGTAAATTAAATAAGGATAATGAATTGTAATAATTAAATAAATGTATTAATTAAATAAGCATATAAATGTTTTAATCTATTAAGATTAAATTATATATAATTTTTTTGGTATTTTGCTGATTTATTGTGATCAGTGTTGTCAGGTATAATAAAAACTGTTAACGATAAAACTGTTTATAAAATATCTAAAGAAGTTAGCAAGTTATCAAGCGATTTGCAATCGCAAGCCTTATATGACCACATGTATAATAATTTGTTTTGACAACTTGGCCACGACTCTTTGCATGTTTTAGCGTGTTTAAAAAACAAAATTAAACTAAAGAAAATAAAAATCTTAACAAATGAAAAAATGAATATAAAATAAATCAGAAAAAAATATAGGCATAAAATTAATATATTTTAATATATTTTGATTTAAAAGTTTTTCACTACAATTTAGAAAATATCTAATTTTTAAAGTTATGCAGTTCAAGCTTCATTATTTCGAAATTAAAAAATTTAAAACTTTGATATTTTTTAATATTTACAAAGCAAATAAAACATTTTAAACAAGTTATCCATTAGTAGGATTTGAACCCCATCCAATGCCTATATAACAGTCACACCTCATAAATATCACAATTAATCAACCTAAGTGCTACATTGTGTGTGTGTGTGTGTGTGTGTATACATATACACACATATATAAATACAGCATTAGATGAACTCAGATAACGTCTGTTCACAAAAAATCCGGACTCATTTCAAATGTACACAAATTGTTCTAAATTTCGAATTTTCGATTCGAAATTTTTTAATTTAATTGGTCAACAACAACAGTTTCATTTTGTGGCAAAATTGAGTTTAAATAATTAATTCAAATAAATATGGAGCATCTAAAAGAGAACGATGTTAGAAATGTGATTGGAAATTTTTATAAACAAAACATAAACAGTGGAAAGAAATTTACAGTGGATCATTTATGACATAATTAAAAGGTCTGAAAATAATTTGCCAATGAAAAGAAAAATCGGTTGTGACAGAAAACCTTTTAAAATCACACCAGAAAAGATAGAGTCCATGATTGCAAGAGCAGAAGAGAGGATCGGGATTTCGCAAAGAAAATTGGCACTAAAATATAAGATAAGCGTTTCATATGTAAATAGATTATTAAGTATGCATGGACTGAAGTATACCAAAAGAAAAAATGCACCAAAAACAACAGAAAAGCAAGAAATTAAACAACAGAAAAACTTATTAAAACTTTCAAAAACTTTTTTCAAGCCATCAAATGAGTTTGAAATCATCGTGGACGATGAATCTTATTTCTGTGTAAATGGTGCAAATTGTTCACAAAACTCTGGCTACTGTACAAAGGATAGTTCTCAAACTGATCCTAACATTAATTTCAACTTCAAAAAAAAGTTTGATAAGAAAGTTCTCGTTTGGATTGCAATCAGTCCTTTCGGTCATTCATCGCCTTATTTTGCTATAAAAAACTGTGCACTGGTTAAATGCAAAAACTTATTCTAAAGAATGTATTACAAAAAGACTTCATCCATTTATAAATTCCAAGTATCAAAACATGAAAATTTTATTTTGGCCTGACGGAGCAAGATGTCATTATGCAAAACACACATTGGAAACTTACAACACTTTAGGTATTAACTTTGTCGACGCTAAAGATAACCCCCCAAATGTACCGCAGTTAAGGCCAATTAAAAATTTTTGGGCACATTTAAAAGCAAAAGTTTATGGAAATGGATTTACTGCGAAAAATCTTGACCACCTTAAGAATAGAATTCGATTAAAGTTGAAAGAGTTCGATCCAGACTACTTTTTCAACCTAATGGATTCAGTCAAAACTAAAGTTCGAAAAGCCACTGATTTAGGACCACTTTTGGTTATAAAATAGTTAACGATGTCCAGTCTCTCATTTTAGTTAAAATTTTTGTCAAAAATCGATTAATTTTGTATTCAATTAAGAACAATTTTTCATTCCGGATTTTTTGTGAACAGACATTAATATCATGCTAAAACAGAAAGCTGCGGGGATTTTAGTACATAATTAACTATCTTATAGCCTATCACAATGACTAAGAGTTGGGCATATTTTGTTTTATTATTTTTCATTTCTTTTTTTTCTGAAAGCTTAAAGCCCACATTTTTAGATTAAGAATGCAAAAATGATATTAAGTTATATATTATGATATCAAAAATGATATAATAAATGTGTCCTAAAGGTCATTCATAAATTACGTCACGCAATTTTTGACATTTTTTGATCCCCTCCTCCCTCTTCCTTCCCTCTCTCAACCATCCCTGTATCGCATTGCAACATTTTATTGACCCCCCAATATTATGCAACAATTTTATAACCCTTCCTCCTCCCTAAAAAAAATTTTTTAAACGCTTTTAAATATATCTATAATTTTCTTATCTTCTTTGAGTTAATTAATACTTTTCAGTCTGTTCAGTCTGCTCAATAGTTTTATGTAAAGTTGTATAAATTGACGTTGCTATCGTAAACATCATCCTAATTTTCATTACCTATTTTTCAAATATAAACACGCAAAATTATTATTTTATGAAATCTCATTATTAGTCATGTTAGCGTGGCCAGGTGGATTCCACTTCCAGCTTGTAAACCAAAGGTTCGAGGTTTGTCTCTCGGGAATAAATTTATTTTTTATTTTTTTAGTTAGTCCACAAAAGTTGTTTTTTTTTGTTTCTGCACACTTGTGCACCAACTGAATAAAGTTACCATAATAACAGAATATTTTGTGTATTAGTTGGAAGCGGTCTGGTTAGAATTGCTTTTGACATCTTAAAGGCTTTCAAATAAGTGCAAAATTCTAGTCTGATTTTGTAAAAGTGTAATGAAATTTGTAATTTTTTTAATCTTATGATATTTAAATGAATACCTTTGCTCTTTTTAAATAGTGTAAATTTTGGAAAAATAGAATTATACCATTCTTTTTTTTTTTTTTTTTTTTTTTTTTTTACATCTTCACTTCCAACAAGGCTGCAAGCAACCGCTATAAGAGTTGGAAGTTACTGGAAGAGAAAAGACTAAATCTGTAGAGCAAGATAACGATTGACTCATGACTTAAAAGATTGCAAATTATATGAATCAGGAAAGCAAGATGAAGGAAGCGAATTCCAAAGAACTGATGTTCGAGGAAAAAAACTAGAAGAATAAGAGTTTTTGAAGCACTTAGGAACAGTCACAGAAAAAGGATGAGACTTAATTGAATGGCGAGTAACACGAGAATGAATTTTAGTAGATGGCACAAGGGGCGCTAGCTCTTTAGAGCAGTGCCCATTATAGTATTTGTAGAAAAGAGAAAGAGAAGCAACATTACGACGATGTGACAAAGGTTGGAGATTGGCTGCCAGAGCAGGTCCAACTATGTTTACAATTCGTTTTTGCACCTTGTCTAAAAGAGAAAGAGCATCATTAGAAGATCCGCCCCAGATGTGGCAACAGTATTCCATACAGGGACGGATTTGAGATTTATAGAGATAGAGAATAGAATCTGGAGTAAGAAAGTGTCGAGCTCGATAAAAAGATGCAACCTTAGCAGATGCTAATTTTGCGATGGATTTGATATACGGTTTAAAAGAAAGATCAAAAGTAAGAGTTAATCCTAGAAGATGAATGGTAGATGACTCATCTAGTACATTACCATTCATAAATATAGGAAGATCTAAATTATTACGATAACGATTGGCCGAATAAAATTGAGTTTTATCTGAATTAAAGTTCACCAGCCACTGTGAGCCCCATGCTGTAGCAGAAGTGAGATCCTTTTCAAGCTCAGATACCCCCTCCAAGCAATCAGAGAGTGTAGGCTTCTTATCATGACAAGAGTAAATGGTAGTGTCGTCAGCGAATAATGCCACCTTAGATGTGAGAATATCTGGAAGATCGTTAATGTAAATTAAAAAGAGTATAGGGCCAAGGATTGAACCTTGAGGAACCCCTGAAGTTACAGGATGTGAAGAAGAGTGTTGTCCATCGAGGACAACTTTTATACTATGATTGGAAAGAAAGGACTCAATAATCTTAAAGACGTTACCAGCTACACCATAAGAAGAAAGCTTATGGAGAAGACCAGCATGCCAAACTTTATCAAAAGCTTTAGAAATGACAAGTGCGATAGCCTTAACCTCTCCACCTCTATCTAATGCACGGTAAAACCTATCGGTTATTACTGTTAGCACATCAGCTGTAGAACGAGAAGACCGAAATCCATATTGATGATCAGAAAGTAAGTTATTTGATTCAAGATGAGAGATTAAGTGTTTGTTGATTAAAGATTCAAAAACCTTGCTTATGACAGGAAGAAGACTAATGGGACGGTAGTTAGATGAATCAGATCGCTCTCCGGAATTTTGAAAATAGGGATAACAGATGCTGCTTTCCAGCATGATGGAAAACAAGACTTTGATAAGCACTTGTTAAATAGTTTAGAAAGTATGGATGAAAGCTCCGGAGAACACCTCTGCAAGACTACAACAGGAATGTTGTCAGGACCACAAGCTGTTGAAGAGTCTAAGCAGGAAATTACTTTAGATACAGAAGCTGAAGTGATGCGAATGTCAAGCAAGGGATCAACCTGTTTGACGGCTATGTCAGGTAAAACGCAACTAGTGGAATCAAGAGATGATATTGATGAAAAGTTCTTTGCAAACAATTCAGCTTTGTCTTTAGGTGAGGTGACAAAGTCTGAACCATACAAGAGAGAAGGAATAACAGATTTGCCCTTATTATTGATACTGTTAAAGATTCTCCAGAAGTCTCGAGAGCCTAATTTTTGTGATGAGATACGAGATTTAATGACCTGGGAATAGCGAGCTTTGGCGTCAGACAAAACCTTTTTACAATGGTTTCTGGCGATAGTGAACAGATGTCTGTTTTCTGGAGAATTGTTTTGCTGATAGATATGGAAGTAACGGTTTCGATTAGAAATTGCTGCAGCGCAATGTGAGGAAAACCAAGGAGAAGAGTGAGGCTTGACCTGGAATCGTCAAGAGGGAATAAAAGATTCCATGCCAGCCTGAATCCACGAAGTTATGTAAGAAGCACATTTGTCAGCAGGAAGACGAAAGATTTCTACCCAAGGGCCATCACGAAGAAAATCACGGAAAGAGTCCCAGTCAGCTTTAAGGTAGTTGTATGTGGTACGATGATAGGGGATTCTAACCGCAGTAATAAAGTTGTCCTTAATGGACAACACTCACCTTCATTTCCAAGAACTTGTTAAGGTTGCCTCTCTTTATTGTGCTCACAATTTTGTTACTCTTAGTTCTATTTTGTTTATAAATCTCTTATTAGTCCTTGTATAAAATGTACTATCATAATTAGGCTGGCTCTTCTATGCCCATCGTTTTTTTTTTTTTTTTTTTTTTTTTTTTTTTTCCTGTTTTGTTAACTTCAAACTTAAAGTGGTTGCTTGCAGCCTTGTTGGCAGTGATAATTTTTGCACATGTATGTTAATAATAATTGTAAAAATTTAGTTAACCATTGAAATATTTTTTCTTTACTAGGCCAAAAGTCAGTTCAAGAAGCGTTCAACTGCAAATAATGTTGAAATTTCTATACCTGTTCCACTTGATGCTGATTCTCCTAAATTTAAAGTATTTTTTTCTCTTATTCTTTATATTTTTAATTTTTTTTTCTATTAGTTATATTTTTATTTAATTTTTTTTTGTTATTAATCTTTTAAAGGTATACCAAACTACCAAGACATGTTCATATTAAAGAGAATGATAAAAAAAAAAATGTTTAGGTTAAATTTTTTTGATTAAAATAAAAGAATAAATGCATACCAAGAAAAACTAACTTTTTTTATGTTAGTCGAAGCTTGCCTTCTCTATTTTGTTGTAGGCCAAAAAGTCAGCATAATATATGCAGCAAACTACAGGCTTCATAATTTATTCAAGTGGGTTTTATTTCTAAGAGTTTCAGTACATCATTGATTTTTTTTGTTTGTGTAAAAGATCGATTATGTAAACAAACAAAAAGTCAATAGTGTTATGTACTGAAACTCTTAAGAATTGAATAAATTTGCGCTTGAATAAATTATCAAGTCTGTAGATTGCGGCGTATGTTATGCTGACTTTTTGGCCCACACCAAAATGAAAATGGCAAGCTTTGAGTATAATAAAAAAGTTAATTTTTCTTGGTATGCATTTATTCTTTTGTTTTAATAAAAAAAATTAGCCTAAACATTTTTTTTTTATCATTCTCTTTAATATGAACACAATATGTCTCAGAAGTTTGGGATACCTTTAATGAGAAAAAAATTATAAATTTGTTCTTTTTTAATTTTTTTTTTTTTTTTATTATTATTCTTTATACTTTTAATATTTTTTTCTATGTAATTTTTATTTTTTTAAAACAATTTTGTTCTTATTTTAATAAATTTAGACTTCAGTTGGTAGTGTAAAATATGATCTTATTTTAATAAATTTAGACTTCTGTTGGTACTGTGAAATATGCTCCGGAGAAGAGTTCAATAATATGGACCATCAAATCATTTCAGGTGCTTTTGTATTTATATCTTCTATTCTATTTTTATTTATTTATTTATTTGATTATTGTTGAGTTTGTTTACAATATATAGTTTCAAATATTTTTTTTTGAATTAAAAAGTATTTTTAGTTCAAAGTATCTAAACATTAATAAGCTTCAAAAATTGGTCAACAAAAGTAATTTATTGCATTCAATATTATTTAGGGAGGAAAAGAGTTTTTAATGCGTGCTCATTTTGGATTGCCAAGTGTTGAAGCTGGTTTGCTTTTTTAAATTATATTTTTTCAAATTTTACATACTTTGGTTGTTTTAAGTTAAAAAATCAACAAAATACTTTAAATAAACTTTTTTTCTAACAGAGGAAAGTGAATCTCGACCACCAATAACAGTGAAGTTTGAGATTCCATATTTCACTGTGTCTGGAATACAGGTAAATGTCTTGATGTTTATTTTTCATAGTTACATATTTAAATTATTATTTGTATTTTTATTATTATTGTTGATGTTGTTTGTTGACAATGTGTATATTTTTAAACAAGAAATAAAATGATAAGATTTCTATCAAATTAAATTGTTAAAATCAGTAGAAATGTCAGGGAAGTTTTTCTTTGATAACAGAAATCAGGGTATGTTATGGGGGTTATTTTTTATTAAAAAAAATTAAATAAATAAAACACTATATTGGAGCTAGCAGTTCTAAAATAAAAATGTGTTTCAGTTTGTTGAAGCTGTTTGTAAAATTTTTTAGTTAAAGTCTTTAGTTAAAGGTGTTTATTAAGGCTGTTTGTTAAGGCTGTTTGTTAAGGCTATTTGTTAAAGCTGTTTATTAAGGCTGTTTGTTAAGGCTGTTTATTAAGGCTGTTTGTTAAGGCTGTTTGTTAAAGCTGAAAAATTTTTATAATGTTCAGTTTTTTACTAGATACTAAGAAATTCTTTTATTACTTAATCCTTAATAGAATTTTAATATAACAAAACTTTATATTGAAAAACGGAAACACATACTAATTTAAAATGTAATATAGGCCATTTTTACCATTAATAATTATAAAAAATGTAGGTTGTTTTACCATATTATATAATTGTATTAACAATATTAATAAGTCATCAAACTGGGTTGTGCAATAATTGATAGTATTCTAATCTGGCTAAATCCTCTTAAGTATTTTTTATATTTGTAATAAATGTTGTTTTAATTTAGCATTTTTTTTACATTATGATATTTTGATTATGATATTTTGTTGTTATCATTCCTGTTGTTGACAGTTCTGTCCTTAGAACTTAATCATAATAGAGAATTTATAAATGCTAACTACCTATCAAAGTATTTAGCATTTATAGGTTATTTAATATATCTATTTATAGGTTATAGTATAAGCATTTATAGGTTATTTATAAGTAAAACTGTTTATTATATTTATTTTATTTAATAATGTTTAGGTGCGGTATTTAAAAATAATTGAGAAGAGTGGTTATCAAGCATTGCCATGGGTTCGTTATATTACTCAAAATGGAGGTATTGAATTGCATTTTTAGTAAATGTTAGTATACCAGGCCTATAGCCACAAAAATTTTAATATAGAGAAACATTACTGCTGGGTTTAAGCTCAATGCCTTGCAGGGCAAAAGATTGAACTCAAAAAAATGTTTTGAAATATTTCGGTTAGTTTTAGCTAAAATTAGCTGAGATATTTTAGTTTTTCATATTTAGGTAAAATTGATAGCGTATTGAAGTTTACATCTTAATGAAGTTGTTTGTATTATTTATTGTTTCTTTTAAGCAGCGCCAATGTTTTTGCAGTTGTACAATTTATCTTTTTTAAGATTATTTTTAAAATACTTTAAAAATGACAGTTTACATTAAAACCAATCTTTGGTATACATGCAAACCAATTGTTATAGTTTCAGCTGCTTTATCAATAGCTTTGTCTTTCTTCAATTTTTGAATTTATTTTCTTTATTGTTTCAACATTGTCTACAGTAAGATTTTGTCTTCAACAATCTGAATACAGACACTCTTGATTTATGGTTTTTATCACTGTTGCTGTTTTTTTATAATTTCAGTCTTTGAAAGAAATAATCTTTTACAGTGCATAAATTCATTGAATTTTAAATTTAAAAATCTTTTTAATATCTGAAAATAACTTTTTTAATATTTTCTTGTATTGTATGTGATCATGTGAAATTGTCTTGTATTGTATGTGATCATGTGATATTTTCATGTTACAAAATTCATTCAACAAATCTTAAAAAAAGGCATATAAATTTTAAATTTTTTAGTTTTTTTGGATTTTCAAAATTTAAGTTAGTAGCTTTAGTAACTTTTGTTACAAAATTGAGGTGTATCTTATATAAGTAAGGTTTATATAGCTTACTATTCTCAATCTTAAATTATCTGTTTTCATAATTTTGAATCTTGAAATTGTAAAAACTATGTGTGGTTGCAATCATCATGAATATGCCACTACTAAGTAACTAATAAGTTCTCTAGAACCCTAAGTATTGTTTTTTAATTTTTTTTACAGAATTTCGAGGTTGTAAGAAGTAATTAATGGATGTAGGTAATGTTGTATCAAAAAGTGGAGTAGAGGAGGAATCGATTGCAACAGTGATATATCATGATTAAAATCAGATAATTATTTTCAATTCTAATACCAGGAGCTTTTATTAAAACCTGAATTGATTGCTCAGATTATGTTGCGAAACAAGGGCATTTTTGCTTTGATGCCCATGCCATTGTAGGCCTTATATAACAAGAGTTCTAAAATCTTTTATTATGCTTTTAAAATTGAAATGGTTTTGGTCCACAACTGTTTTGGTGCCTCAGTCTAGAAAGTGAATGATGGTTTTTTTTGCTATGGTAATGAAGGTATAAAATTTAAACAGTTTATCAATGAACAAATAGTAATCAAAACTACTAATAAACAGGTTTTGAAACATGAATGAAAACAAACAGAATGTTTTTGGGAGATTTCTGATTGAATCATCAGAAATCATCAGTCATCAGAAAAAATATGAGAGTTGTACTAAAAACTAGTTTATAAGTATGGCATCATACTAAAACTGGAGATTTTCCCACATAAAAAAGACTGGCTGTTAAATCATAAATCAAGTCTGAATAATCATGTGTATTGCCCGTTCATACACAAACTATCTAATTTTTGAAAATACTGATTTGGTATCATAGATTACAAACTATCAGTGTCATAAATTACAATAAAAATAAATTATTGAATCACAGGCATTATTAAAATGCAACTTCCTATGGTTTTTGAAAAATATTTGTAAATAACATTTTACAAACAAGGTAAAACCATATTATGTTAAGACATGAACAAAATAAATATGTTTAAATTTTTATTTTACATTTCATTTTACATAAGACCTATCAATCTAAATAACCTCTTTTTTAAAGAAGAAAGTTTGTTTGTTTGAAAATGTGTTACATGTTTGTGTATATTGGGTTTAATTCTTACCATTTTACTGATTTAGTGCATACTTGTAAGTTATATTTAAAATATTTTTTTTTTATAAAAGTTAGAGGCTTAAATTTGATTAAATTTTTTTCATCGTTAATGTTTGTTTTGTATAACTTTTAAAACGAAAAAAACAATCAAAATAAATTTTTTGAAATATATGAAATACTTAATTGAAAAGTATTTTCAATTAAGTAAGAGTATTTTCAATTAAGTAAGAAATATTTTATAAGTATTATATTTTAATAAGTATTTTCAATTAAGTAAGAAAACAATCAATATACTTATATTAAAAATTATTATTCATTTTCCATTTAAAAGTAAACTTAAATAAAATTAACTAAATTAATTGACTTATTACAAAATTAATTATTGAATATTGTATTGTCATCAAGCAATAGTATGTTTACAAAATTTGAAGAAAATCTATCATCAGGAAGTGACTCAAAAATTGATTGCAAGATTTGATGCTCACAGACAAACAAACAAACAAAGAGACGACAAGTTAATGATATATATATTTTTTTCCAAAAACCATTTAAAAAAAAAAAAAAAAATATCAAGGCTGTCCTTAAAAAAAATGATTACATCAAAGCTGTACTTAGATGCTTAACCTTATTACCTTTCCATGCAGTTACGTTTAATCAAATTTTGTATCATTCAAAATAAAAAAATCGAATGTTTCATGAAATAGAAATGCAGTTTTTACTAATATATGTTTTTGATAAAATTGGTTTTACTTTATTGGCATATTTTAATATAGATTTTGTTAAATAATTTTTATCAATAGTATCAATAGAATATAAAACTTTTGAGATAAATAAAACTCGTTTGTTGTATCCATTTTTTTATTGTCAGTTAAGAGCTTAATACCAATTACTATGATGTTAACCGCTTGATAAATTTCTATGTTTTATACTTTTATCTCAATATCAATAATTCGGTACATTAAATTATAAAGTTCCAGTATTTACGAAAATAAAAATGTTTTTTTGTAAAAAATATCGAATTTATCAACAATCAAAAATTACGTTAATAACAATTATTGTTTTGTATTAAAAAGTGTTGGTGATTACTTTTTTTTTATTATTTTCTATTTTGTTACTTTGTTTATTTAGATTATTCGTTGAGGACATCGACTTAAAAAAGCCATATTATTTTGAATTATTCCTTCCGAAAATCGATGTAGAAAAAGTGTATATTATTTTTTTGTGTGTGGTATTTATATACCAAAAGCCAGGGCAAATTTGAAATTTTTTTTATAATATGTAATTGTCAATCCTATTTTTGCTTGAGAAACAGAAATTTATATGTACTGAATGTTTTTAGTATATATAATATTAAATTTTATACATCAAATAAGTACTATAGCAATAGTTGAGTACAATAGCAACAATTTATATTTAAAAGTATATACTTTTAGGTACGTTAATATTCTTTGGTTAATTTTTTTTTACTTATTTTTATTTTTATTGTGTACCTGTTTGTGCGTCTGTCAAAAATCGCAAGATTATTTGCTTGTGGTTAACAAATATTCGTAATGAAATAATTTTTAAAAAAGGTAATGAATATAGACTCATTCTCTTTTCTTTTGGGCGCATAATATTTCCGCTCCATTTACTTTAACCCTGAAGATAATTTTGCGTATTAACAGTCAATATAATTGTCTTTAATCGCTTAATTAGAATGGATCTGCTGCGATCTTTTTTATCGCGCTACCACAAGCCACGACTGGTACAGTCGTGGCTTGTGTCTATTCTTATTGTTATATGAAAAAATGTTTGTGTGTGTTGTGTGCATAATTATTAATAGAGCGAGAGGTTTAAAAAAAGGAATGTGAAAATATTGAAATATTGAAGCTAATTAAAAGCGACCAAAATGGATATGCTAAATTTAAACTATTAGTTACAGATGAAACTGTTATTTGCCAATAATTAACACGTTTAGAAAAAAGTTTACGTGTATGCAAAACAACGATCAAAGAAATCAACGTATGGACTAGGGTTGTTAACCGGAGGATTTCGTGCAATTCCGGAAAAACAACATTCTTTCGTAAGGAGATTGAGAACGAGGAATTCGGTACGAAAAAAAACATTTTTTCGTACCGAATGTTACAAAACATTTAAAATCGCCGATGTTCATTTCGCAAAAGTCACTTCCGAAATTTAGCATTTCACAAGTTGACATACGAAACAAAACTATTTTGCAACATATGAAAGTAGCGGTTTCGGAAGTCGAACTTGCGAAACAAACATTTTCGCCAAACGACGTTTTGAAGTCTATAAAAAAAATTTGTTTGCCAGACTGATTTTAATTGTAAAAACTAACATCTTTAAATCCCAAAATGTTTATAATGAATTTTTATTTTCAGTATAATAACATATTAAACTATTATGGTTTTATTTTTAGAAATATTGATATAAAATAAAATTTCTTTCAAAACGAAAGTATTTCGGATCACAACAAACGAAAGAATTCTTAACGGAAATAAACTTACGAAACGTGCTATAATAAATATATATAACGATTTTTTTTGAACTCATTACGTATATTAAAAATAAGAATGATGGGTAGGAATATACAAGTTTTTTTTTTTTTAAAGCATATGAAATTTTTGAAATAGGTTCAAATATGCTTAAGCAAATAGTAAAAAGAGGCTCAAAAATATGCTTTAGCTTAGGCATATTTCTGATAAAATATACCTATTTCAATAATTTCTAAAAGAAATTATTGAAATAGGTATACTAAAGTTCTAGCAGATTTTAAAGGTATGTAGAGTCCTGTTTGAATACGCTTTTCGAAGTATAGATCTTAGAAAATATTGTTTTTTAATTTAACTAAGATATAAATTTAAGTATAAGATCGTATAGTTCAATCAGTTAGATACGTGATAATTCGCCGCAGAGATCCGGGTTTGCATCCCGCAGCCATTGTAACTTTTGTTCATCAAACTCTTTTTACTTAAGATAGCATTTTTTGACCTCCATGTTCTATATTACAGATCTTTCGTCACCTTCATAATAGTGACAACCTCTCTTCTGTTAGTTATTCTTTTAAGATTGCTTAATTCTACACGTTTCCCTTGCTTTACTAAGTTCTACTTAAATTATGATGAAATGTACGTAAAACAACATTTTCAAATAATATAAATCATTTTGCTTTAAATCTTGTGCTTTTTGTACTAGACATCTGTCCTAAACACTTTGTAATAATTTCTAGCTAACTCTGAGTCTAATATAATCATTTCTGAATATAATTTCCCTGAGGCTCCTACAGCCTATTGTGTTCCATTAAAAGTAACTAGTTTTCGAGTCCAGATATTAATTATAAGCAACTAAAGGTTCACATTACTATTCATTTTCCTGATATATAGAATCCTATTTGCATACGTATCTCTTTCTGTAAATTCTGTTTTATAAAGTTTCTTAATTATATAATAAATAAATGTTACTATTCACTTAGTTGAATGAACGTATAGCTCATTCAGTTAAGACATTTGGCCGCGGAGACCCAGGTTCACATCCTGCTGTTTCACATATATTAGGTATATTTGTATAAACATTTGAAGAATCATTTGACAACATTTTTTTATAATTTTATTATTTATTATTTAAACTGTTAAGAGTTAATATCTTAAATATATCGTAACATAAAATCTTTTGCGTCTTTTTCGTAACTGCACATTCCGGAATGCTTTTTCCGTAAGGAACTATTTCGTAAGTATTCTTACGAAATGATTTGTTTCGCAAGTTTTCTTTCGCAATGCTTTATTACGGAATTTTATTTATTTATATTTTCGTTTAGCGCGTTACGGAATGAGCATTTTTGCATGTGCAACTTCCGCAATAACAATTCTATTACGGTAGATAAAGATGCGAAATTTTCGCAAGTTTTGTTTTTCGGCGAACAACCCTAGTATGGACAGCAATATAATCAACAATATGGACAGCAATACTTAAGTAAAATGTTTACATCTCTACCATGTCAATCAATCCTAAGCGTCATTCCAAATGCAATTTAATTTTTGAGATGTTTTTATTTTTTTAAATTTTTTGTTAAAATACCCGATTGAAGGCAAAGCGTATAGTTTAAACGCAATCGTACGTAGTTTTGAATATTTTGTAGTATAAAACTTATTTAAGCTACAAAAATGCTATATCAAATTATAATAATGAAAGATTGTTAAAATTTTAATATTATCAACGCCTTTAATACTTTGTCTTGTTTTAGCCAAATCGATTGCCGCAAATTTGGCTTCAGTAAAAATCTGGCTGTTTTCGGGCAATTTAATAAACATTTGTGAATTAATTACTTGATCATGTTTATTATTTCTAACAAATTCAGTTCCTTTTTGTTTATTTTCATCACTGTTCATTTTGATACTTCTTTCTTTGTAGAAAGACCAGGGTTATTTGGCACTAAAGGTGGTTTAGGATTTATCTTTACAGTTTTCATCAAAACGTATCAGAAACAACGCGAAATCTTCTTAATTGATCATTTCGTCATTCTAGTATATGTTGTTTATTTTCATCATTCTAATCATGTAGTGTTGTAAGGATTCGTGCCTGCGCATAAGATAAATTGACAAAGTGTTTTCTGAACAAAAACGTAATTTTTGGAACATAGTTTCTTTTTTACTTTACGAAAAAAGTACATAAAAAAGTTATTGTAATGATTTCAGTCATGCTTTATTTTTAAGTTATTTTTTAAGGAAGGCTGTTTATTGAGAAAAAAGTTTTTTTTTGGGGGGGAGGGGCGTAAATAAGCAAAATTTTTACTGAGGTATTTACTATGTAAAAAGTATAGATTTTTGTAAAATTATTATTATTTTTTAATTTTTTAACAATATTGAGATTGATTGATTTATTACAAAAGTATTTTGCAAAAGCGTTTTTTTTTAACTAATAATAAAGATGCATGTTAAATTTTCGGCTTAAACTTATCGTCAAAATAAACAGTAAAAAAATGCCTATGAACTTTAAACTTAATAAAATACCTATGGAACTTAATAATTATTTTTATAGTTAGACCCAACTTACATACGGGTGCGGGTAAATGGTGAACTTATTTTATTTATTTTTTTGAGACAAAGATGCAAGTTAATTAAGTTACCTAAAATAACACTCCTCAAAACTAAACTTTAATGATTACAAAACAAAAAAGTGTGCCTTAAGAGCAACAAAGGGTAATACAATGTATAAATTGGGCTCAAAGAATAAAAACAGCAACTACCCCCGGTCTCTATTTAAAAAAAAAAAGTATGTGATAATTATTTGGGTGGAAATTATTGAGTATATTTAGTGTACTTATGAAGAGCTCTTTTCTTAATTTTTTCTTAATGATGATCAGTAAAGAAAAAATGTAAGAAATGTAGAAAAAATGTTTTTAAACGGTTTTATTTAAATTACGTTGTTCTGTATTTTATACACAAATATTTATTGAAATTTTATATCGATTAAACTAATGTGTTCTTCTTACTCTTAGTTTTTTGTCAGTAGCAGAACTTAACGAGTGCTTTTTTTATGTTTGACTTGTCGAAGCAAACTAAAGGAAATTTAGAGAAATAAGTTTTTTTTTTCTAAAATCAAGAAATACGAGTACAATTAGTAAAAAAAAAGATATATAAAAGTTATATAAAAAGATATATAAAACTAAATGAAAAAATACAACTTTATGATGGAACTTAAAGTTTCATGCAATTTCGGCAATCATCAGCCATATATATATCTAAAGTTGTATTTTTTAATTTAGTTAAACTTTTATATATAATTTACTACTTCTTCATTTTCTACTGTTTCTACGGCGGAAAATGAAAAAAAAGTAAATTTTTATTTTATTTTTCGCCAATTTTTAGCAAATGAGTATTGATGTAGACACATAAAAGTTTATTTAAAATTAAAAATACCTTTAATACTAAAATAATTTATGTAAGTCATTTTTACGCCTCCGAAAGTTACGGTTTTTCTGATTGTCGCATGATAAAAAAAGGTATCATCGTAAAATGTTATTTTAACCATGAATTTATTTGCAAAATGGGAGTTAAATTAGCGTGAAAATGGAGATAACACGTTCAAATTGTTGTTGGTCAGACTTTCTACTTTATAAATTATATACATTTTAAGAAAATAACGAAAGAACTTTTGCAATTTTCATGTAACGTAGGTTAATAACAACATGATAAAGTTTTGTTTTTTCTAAAATTTAGTTAAAAAACTTAAGTTTTTTAATAATATATGCAAAAGAATACTAAATATTACGTTTTTACATTTAAAGTTTTAAATAACGATGCTTAGTTAAAGCACATTTTAATTTTAAGTTTGTGTAACATGTGTTAAAACTACGTTACTAAAGTTCTGGCGCTTTTTCGATAACAAAATGAGTTACGTCATTAAGTAAACTTATTTTGTCGCGTTGGTTCGGAGAATATAGAAGAAAATTTTTTTAACTTTTTTTTAATATTAACTAAAGTTATTTATATTTTTGCTTTTTTATTTGTTTATGTATTCTTATTTAAGTTGACATAAATAAATAAAAATAAGATTTATACAAATATTTGTATTTAGTCATTAAAAAAA